TCTCCAAGGTTTGCTGGTATCTGCGAAAAACGAGTGAAACAAGATCAGAGGAAGGTTGAAAACATACTTGCATCAAATCAACAGTCTGAAGTGGAAAACGACTTTAGAGAATTTTTTGACAGCAGTAGAGAAGACGCCCGAGACATAATCCAGTCTTTGTATGGATCGGAAGAGGAGATTGATGTTCACGTGTACTATCCGAGAATAGCATGCATAATATTAGAGGTAAGTTGTATTTCAGTGATTTCATCACCTAGCTATAGCACCATATAACCTCCTTTTAAGGAGGTTAAAAGATGCTGAATATTTTGTCATAAAGTTGAAAACGTACCTCAAGAAAGGACGTCAGACTGGCGGACATGTCCTTTAAGCTCACTGGCTCATTCGTTTGTTTATTGAAACATATCTGTTTTGATAAAGTTTGCCTTAAAAACTTATCCAGAAGGTTCACTTCCAAAATAAAGAAAATGGTCCATTGTGGTCCCCAAACTCTAGAAAACACCATCAACATTGCTTACTGCTGTACCTCTACCTGTCCAATCTGTACTAAGAAATGGAGATACCCGTCAGCTCAGCTTTAAACTAGCCCTCGCCACCTCTTACACTGGTAATCTTTATAACTACCTAATTTATTTTACACCAATATTTTTTGTTAACAAAAACGGAATAATAAAATAAATGAAGGATAAAAATGAAACAGTGCATTTTACCCAGCGTTGACGCGTTTTTACGTATCATTGTAGCGGTAGTATTAAGGACAGTTACGTCACGCGTGAAATGGTATTAATGAGGAGTTCATTTTAGATTGCTTACGAGCACGCCAATGATGTCAAAGAAGCCGTGATTGACTTGTTCAAGGTAGTAACGAAAAATATGGTTCTCCATGCTCCTCAAGAGGGCTACAATTTCAGGCTCAAAAGGACGGTGAGGAAATTATAGTATACAATGTGGTTATATGTTTTCAATCGATAAATAACCATAACGCCTGCCTAGAAATGGTTCCAGAACATTCTAGAATAGTCGTAAAAAGCTTTTAAAATCGATCATTTTTGCTATTACAATTAGAAAATCCATAATCTGTAAAAAAAAAATCCACTTATGATGTAAGGTTTAATAGATACGACGCGTAAAATAGTTTTAATCGATAGGACGTTTTGCAATATGAATTTGATGAATGTTGCTGAGCCAGTCATAGAGTCGGTAGTAAGGTAAAAAATTCTTTAACTTGACAACCATTCCTTTAGTTGCTTTACCAAATGATCATGAACTCTGTCTACAGCTCTATCTGTTTCTCTACAAATCGCATTATAGTTTCGAAACAGTTCTTGCTTGCGTTTGTTCAGAGAAACGCAGCCAAAAGGAGGGATCGCCGCCTTCAGGCGGGACGATTTTTGTCTATTTCGTGAGGGAAATTGCGACTGTCTATACAATTATTTGAATAAAGTAATGGTACGAATGATATTGCAATTAAGAATTTACACTTAAAGGTTGCTTACAACGGTTTCCAGAAATTATTCTTAAGAAGATATTCTTTGATAATCAATTTTGTCAATCTTTTTCAGTTGATGCTATAATAATAGTACCAATAAAATGCCCAAGTATTGGTAAACAAGTTATGACCAATTTTGCGACGTTAAAAATACCATGGCTGTAGCGCAACGTGTCAAGAACACCCTTAACTTTGGCTTTACGTACTTATAATTCAAGAGCGAGTCCGTGTTAGAAAGTTCAGAATTTTCGAAAATTTAAGGTGGCTCTGACACCGCTTTCGCGATTGTTTTAAAACTTTGTTAAAAGTTGCATCTTGACTTTGTGAGTTATAAGCACTTGTGTTTGCAGCAAGTCGTAGCATTGCCATAATAACTTGTAATGTAAATAAAATGATCATAACGTGCTCACCAAAGTCATGGTTTAGATACCATTGTTGCAGCATCAACTGAAAAAGAATGGTAGTATACATATGTCAAAGTAGACGTGCTAAAGAAATGCTGTTGTCAGTCACCTTAACATCACAAGTAGTGTAAATCCTCATTTACTGCAAGACTGAATTCCATGGGTGCGAAATTTACGTGCGTGCGCGCGTTAATTTGCACTACAGTGCAATTGAAAATTAGAGTTGAATTTGCCTCCTATCAGCCAATCACAATGAAGAAGGTTTCACAGTCGTAATAAAATCTGTAATTCAGTGATGTAAAAGAGTCAAGAGTTGCTGATCGTTCTTATTTTAAGGAGGGAAGTTTTGACATTTACCCGATCTCCATTGGTGATCTCAACACTTCAGAGAAATCAACAGATGTCCTGGATGCTTTTCTAATTTCTTTGAAAGAAACAGCGCATATCTGTAACCTCCAGTGTCTAGAAAAAGTGAGTTTCCCCTTTACTACCGAATATAAAATTAATATTCACATTATAGTTAATATTATATTACAATCAGTGACAATTAATCCCTAACTCAGTGGAAAATTTCATCATTAATGTGAAATTTCGTGCAAACAATGACTGACGATTTGAATTAAAACCACCATGGCAAAGAAGTGGCAAACTAGCAAAAAGAAACAAGTGCCTCAAAACCGAAAGGAAAAAAANAGAAAAAACAAACAAACAGATTTTGTCAGAGGTAAAAACTGCTGATTGTTTTGGGGATATCTGCGCAAGGGATACTAGTAATCTATTGTTTGTGCATTTCTCGGAAGGTAAATATAAAAAATGTTTTGCTCCTTTCATATATGCGTTTTGAAATGATCGTCCTTTGCTTATTTTAGGATGTTGCGGAAAGTTCCTTGAAAAAGTGGACAGAATGGTTTGACAAGAATGTATCACTCGTGCACACACCTACTCAAGAAGTACTGGTTAAGCTGGATAGTTACATCAAGGCATGCATTCGTTTAACTTGGCGAATGGTCACACAGCTCCCACCATTGCGACTCGAATACCATTCCCCAAGGTTTGATCGCCACATTCACAAGAAAACGGCATACCAGAACACGACTGAGAAAAACCCAGGGAATGAAGAAAGCTTGGGTGAGGAGATTTTGTGCTATTTGTGGCCCGGCCTGCTTGATGGAGGGGATAGACTCATTCTTCAAGGACAAGTTCTTTGCAAAATGCAGAGAGGAAAACTGAAATAGGAGCGATCATAATTAACAGCTTGAAAGGGAATTAAGTTCCAATTTGTCTTATATTTGATCATTAACTTTTAAATTGTCAAAAAAACTTAAAAGTTTAAGTTATCCAGCCGTAAATAAAATTACTGAGGTAATGCGCTGTTACATGTCACTAGTTAACGAGAATTAATTGGCCTTTTCATGGTTAACTTTTCTCATTTGCATTACAATATAATCCAACATGTAATTGAGACAATTTCGGGCAAATCAGAAAGTAATTGTGCAAAGGGCTATTGTAATAACTTTGTTGGAAATTCAGTAAGAAATTCCGTGCTTTGTTTTGTCGTTGTATATCAGATATTTTCCTTTTTAAAAGCTACTATATATCGGCAAGTGCGATTCAATCCTAATACAGGGACCGGCGAGCGGTAGAGGGGAAGTGGCGGAGCTCAATAGTCTGATAAATACTTGACGTGCTTCGCGAGTTGATGTATGACTTCTTTAGGCTTGCCTTTCGGGTTCTTTCTTTCCTGGTTCTGGTTCAACTTTGAAGGTACAATAAACTATCGACTTATTTTACTGATCGACAGATAAATTGTATCTGGTGAACATGACGTATTAAACTTTTAAATCAAAGGCTCATGAACATCACGTGGGCGAAGGGTACTTCGTCTAGGACGTCCTTGTATTACTAACAATTAACCGTTTAGTGTTTTTAGTCTTTAGCATAATACCAGTTTGGCATTTCGCTCGATATGATAGTAATAATATGTCCACGTCTCTGTGGAAACTATGTTTTTGACGGAAAGCGAATGAAAGCAACAAGAACAAAAACACTAGACACATGCACTATTTGGCGCTAACCAAACAGTACACAGCTCTAAGGTAAGGACCCTTTTTTCTCAGCTTGTTTTCCATCCTTATCACACTATATGACACTTCTTCAAATCGTGTTCTTTTAAGGATCACACTCAAGCAAGTCATGGCGTGGCTCATAAGCTAATTGGCATAAAAATAATTTTTCAGCTTCATAGTTCATTTGTATCAACACGAAATGTTTGCTTCACGTGTTGCGGCTCTTTACGTGCTGCCTCAGATGAGCTGTTATTATTGCTTGATGGGATTAAAAACATGTTAATTGACAATTGGGCTCCAAAATGGCGTATAACGAATATAGTAGTACATGGAAATTGATGCATTGTTCCTTTCACGAGTCTGGCTGGAGCGATTGGCAATCCCTGATTTGGATTTCAGAGATATCAACTAAGGAAATGTCCTAATAGGTTACGTGACACGAGTACTTTCCTACAGGAAAAACCGATGAACATCGCGAGAGTCTCAACCGAGGGATCACCACGTCTAATTTTGCTCGAAAAATTAGGAAAATATCAAGGTGGTGAATCTTCTGGAAAAAAAAATTGATGTAGGTTACCCAGTATGCGTTTGGATATCTCACATGGTTTTGCGTTTGGCCTGCACTCAACCCTCACATGCTAACATGAAAATCTCTGGGTTTAGATAGAGTTTGGTGTCGTATTGCTAAACATCATTCGGTGACATTTTCGATAATTCATGGCAGTATATCAAGTTATTATGATAATATCACAATAATAGCATTTTGATATTCCTAATGTTAAATGATGACATTTTTGGTAAAAAGTAGAGAGGAAATCAAGTGAAGAGCAAACTGAACTGAAGAAACCAAACCATTTCAACCAATATTAATTGTCCATTTTGGATTATGGTCCACAAGTACCTGTAATATTACTAGTTTATTGGTATTTCCACACTGACTTGTTTTCAAACTCTCATTTCAGACTAGGCTAATAATCCACTATGAAAAATGGACTAGTGCTAGCTTGGAAATTGAAGCAAGCAATAGCAATTACCTTCTGGTTTCATTGTATTACGTTGCTGCATTCAAGCAAATATAAGGTTTTAAATTACCCGTGTGCAGTTGAAAGCAAAATATTTTTTTCCGCATGCGCATGTCCGACAGTTGTCCATGGCAAGCGGCTGAATTCTCGGAGGGAAGCCATGAATGTTCAGCGAGTGTCTCTATTGATTTGCCCGGATAATATACAAGGACATTTCACGCGTTGTATGATAAATGCGTGCAACGACTATTATCTGAGAATCATCAGAAGTTTGATTCCACGAATAAAGTCAAAACCACGTACATGGTATCGTCTCTTATTATAGCGTATTGTTTATCCTAAATTGACAGACTGCATTCTAAACGAAAGAGACAAAGCAACCAGCACTTTGTTCTGCCAAAACGACCTCTCCTTTCTCTATTACCCTGCCATCAAAATCATGTAATGTGGGCCATACGTAACATTTAACGATTTTAGCACGTTCCTGCCCACTGGCCCAACGTTCGGGCGGGTGTTGTGAAGCAGATGGCGAGAATGCCTGGCTTTCATTATGACTTGCGGAATTGTAAGTTGAACTCTTGTAGTCGATCTTCAGAGGGGGCACTTGATTTACAAGACGCCAAGCAAATCGGGTGCAGCATTCAATGTAATCTTTCAATTCACTTTTAAGGCTTTTATCGTAACTCGGAAGATTCCTTTGCTTATATTGTTCCCTCCAATTCTCTTTGATCTCCTTCTTGATCATCTGGACAGATACATGTAAAAGGAGAATAATAATAACAAAAATTAAAAAGATTACTCTGGTTAATATATTAGCAAAGAATTTCTTGTTATTGTGATTGCTAACCCTGTGCAGAGATTGCTCTTAACAATGTCCAGAGTTGCATGCAAATCATAGTTCGATAGTTACAAATAGTGTGGCAAATCTAGTTTTCAAGTTAGAGGCTCTTAAAGCTAAAATGATCTATTTATAATTATATAATAACCCAAGTTATTCTCGCATTTTGATTGGTTCTCGCCGATGATCTATTAGAGGACAGACGCACGATTGACGTCATCATTAAAATGCCATTAAAATGGCGGACAGTTTTGAGAATTTAGATAATATTTTACATGACTGGGCAAAAGATACGGTACAAGAAAGTCTTGTCCAGGTATTGAGCATGTACCAGAAGCATAGTCTAGCAGGAAGACGAAAGATAAAGCCGTTTCTGTTTTAGAAAATGACTTAGAAAAAATACTCGAGCACTCTCAGTCGGCAGTCGAGGGAGACTAAACCAAACACGGAATTAGCCGAGAACCATTGCTTTATCTCGAATTTAACAAACCCAATAAACAAAATGTTTA